ATTATTATTATTATTATTATTATTATTATTATTATTATTATTATTAATATACATGTACATTGTATTTGTATATGAGGTTAGTAGTAAATAGTAATGCAGTATAACCTTGATTATCCGGATCCCTTTGTCCATCAGATAATAAAACTTGGCCCGGATAAGTGAAATGTCCGGTAATTGAAATGACCTTTAAACCTTTATATACTTACTCTATAGAAAAGCTAGAGCCTTAATCAGCCATAAAGAGGCTATATCCAAGCCTTGTTACTAGTAGAGAGCCATTAATCAGCAGCATTCCAGTGCTAAACAAGCTACTCTGTATTGAAAGCAACCATTTTATAATACCATATATTCTAATTAAGTGAATTTAAGGCACCATGTGGTCGCTTTCGGACATGATTTCAGAGTCTGGATAATTGAGGATGTGGATAATCGAAGTTGTACTGTAATTGAATTTAATCATTTTGTACATGTGCATGTATATCTAGTATATATGTGTAATAATAATTATTATTTATTTTTATTTTATTTTATTTTATTTTGTTCTTATTAAAGGTTTGCTGATGCCAGTCACTGGCTGGAGTATTTCCCTCCTTTGGCTAAGGAAGACTTGGAGGCTCTTGGACTAAGAGTGAGTTACCATCATCCAATCACTACTCACTGTACATGAACATTAATAGTTGCACTACTCAATAACTGTGTAAAGGCTGGTTCACAATATGATGCTAGGCCAACGTGCCGTCAATTTTTAATCAAAGTGTGGGCGATTTGACCTTTTGACGCATGCTTTCCTCTGGAATCAAACCAGATTTGATTCCAGTGTCAACGTAACGTCAGGACTAGCGTAATATTGTGAACCAGCCTTAACTGCTGTATACTGTATTTGTTCTATATAATATATGTATATTTACTGATCAATTCGTAACTCAGATACACGTACATTTTGTACAGTGTAGTGTGTATGTATTATTATTATGTATTATTTAAACTACTGAATAACTGTTCATTATGTACTACTGCATGTGTACAATGTGACCTCTCTATTATAATAAAGACACCTTTATAATGAGGACACCTTTATAATGAGGACACATTTGTATAGGCTTGTACCAATTGGGACATTACAAAATGTTCTCATTATAAAAGCACCTCTGAAATGAGGGCACCTCTGTATTAAGGACAGGTAGTGTGGGCCCAATGGTGTCCTTAATAAAGAGGCTACACTGTACATGTATTAAGGACAGGTAGTGTGGGCCCAATGGTGTCCTTAATAAAGAGGCTACACTATAAAATTCACATGTATGATTGTATTTATTTATTTATATTAATATGTTCACAGATTGATTGGCGGAGGTCATTCATCACTACTGATGTCAATCCTTATTACGATTCATTCGTGAGGTGGCAGTTTCTGACACTGAAGGATAGAGGAAAAGTTAAATTTGGAAAAAGGTACAATAGATTTTTTACGAATTTTAAACTTACTCTAAAATCGGACAAAAGTCCCTGTACTATAGTACAGGGACTTTGGCCAAATTTTGCCAAAAATGAAAAG